GCTAGCTCTTACTGGTGTCCCTGAGAATTCTAACAGTGGTTTGCTGCACACCGTGTTATATCTTCTACCACCCACCCTCATTTGCAGCTACTTAGAGGTAACATGTAGGATAGGTATTAGGGATGGAGTGTCTTCCTGCTCCCCAGATTGGCCTGCTGGGAAGGAGGGAGAGAAGTTTTGCCCTCCCTCTGAACCTGCCTCCTAGCTCTTACTGGTGTCCCTGAGAATTCTAACAGTGGTTTGCTGCACACCGTGTTATATCTTCTACCACCCACCCTCATTTGCAGCTACTTAGAGGTAACATGTAGGATAGGTATTAGGGATGGAGTGTCTTCCTGCTCCCCAGATTGGCCTGCTGGGAAGGAGGGAGAGAAGTTTTGCCCTCCCTCTGAACCTGCCTCCCAGCACACTAACCCTAGCCCTGTCCATGTTAGAGAACCTTGCTTTTTTATGCTACACCTCCTGTCTTGTTTTCCTTTGTCAGCACTGCTTGCTCAGAAACCCTGCTGCCAGTGACTCTCTCCACTCAGACTGCACATTAAGCTCTTTCTTAGAAAGCAGAAAGGAAAATCAGTGCTGTCGTAAGCACTGTTAATTCCCACACTGATGTCCATGTTGGGGCCTGAATATCTCCTCAGTTCTGTATTTTCCCTGAGATTGAGTTTATCCCCACCGAAAAGACCAAAGTTTCAACCATACTTAGTGCAGATGAACAGGGCTTGCCGAACTGCGGCGAGCCCTGCTTGCCAGCCGCGTTGTCTGGTGATTGGCGCATGCGCAGATCGTTCTGCGCATGCGCAGATTGCCTGAACCCGGCTCTTCCGGGTTGCAATCTACTCGCCATGGGTGAGTAGATTGCATTATTTGTCAAGCCCTGCAGATGAATATCTGCAATCTTGCAGAGAGAGCATGCACTCCAGCAGGGTGGGCAATAATTTTTAATGGGGACCCACTCCAAGATTTTGGTAAGTGGTCGAGGGTCACACTTCTGTGGAGGGGGTCTGGGATGGTAGATGGGGTGTAGAAGGGAGCTTGGGATAGAAGTCTGGGGTGCAGTAAAGGGTGTGGAGTCTGAGAGGGAGTTTGGGTGAAGGAGGGGTTTATGACCTGGGGTAGGATCTTGGGGTGCAGGGTCCAGGAAGGGTTATGGGTGCAGGAGAGGATTCTGACTGGTAGGAGGGAGTGTAGGGCCTGGGAGGGAATTGTGACCTCGGAAAAGGAGGGAAAGGGGGTGCAGAAGGTTTGTGTGGTAATGTGGGAGCAGGGGAATTGGATTCAGGGGCAGGGAGAGGTATGGGTGCAGGAAAGGATTCTGGCCTGGGGGAGGGGTGTAGCAGGGGATGCAGGGTCTGGGAGGGAGTTGTGACCTGGAGGAGGTGGGGAGAGGGGACACAGAGGGTTTGGGTGGTGGCTTGGGGCAGGTAGTTGGGGGGAGGGGGAAGAGGGGAAGAAGAGTCAGAGGAACGCTCTGGCTGCTGGCTGAAAGGCTCTTACCTAGGTGGCTCCCAGCCAGCAGCTCTGCAGGAACCTGAGACAGGCTCCCTGCCTGTGTGCTGGGCAGGCTGCTTCCACATGGCTCTGCTCCAGCACGAGAAAGGGGCAAGTGAAAAGGCTTCATTCACTGCACCTGCCATCAACAACATTTCTCATCTCCTATTGGTCAGAAACTGGCCAATGGGAGCTGAAGGATTTTGCTAGGGGGTGGGGACAGTGTGCAAAGCTTGTCTTTTTCCCTTCCCAGACTGCATAGCAATTAGCAGCCTGCTGTTGAAAGCGGCTGCAGCTGCTCTGTAGTAAGGGTGCCTGTGAGGTGGCCACAGACTGGATTTGGCAACTTGGCAGGCCAGATCTGGCCCACTAGCCGCCTCTTGCCCTTGCATAGCATTTGGGTCCTGAAATTCTTGTTCCTTTGCTCCACTCTGTGCAAAAGAACAGAAGCTCTCACCTTATAGTTTAAAACTGCAATATTACCATGAATCTGAGGGTCAGGCCAGTCCTTATTTCTTGGTCAACATTTGGGTCACTTCTTTCTGTGTTTTTTCTTGCAGGAGGGATGGTGATCTGTGGGTAATACGAGAAGGGTACCGTGTAAAAACTTGTGTCTAAACTCCCTTTTACTATTCATGAATAGGTTCCACGCTTTACAATATCCTCCGAGGGGTGCTGGAAGTTGCAGTTGGCATAGCAGCTGGTGGGCTTCTAGGAGTTTTTATTCAATATTTCCCAAGTAATGATCAGGTAAAAAAAAATGAAAAACACTTTTCTGAAAAGATTTCACCTGAGGTAAACATAGTTCTCTTGCTACGAGTGGAGACTTGTTAGCAGGAGAATGAGACAATCCATTTCCTAACTCAGAGTGAGTGTAGATATGACTTCATAGAGAATGGTATGTGTCTAGCACCTACAGTTGTGAATCCTGTGAAATTTTATTATTTGTTATAATGGATTACTTGTTTGTTTTCACGTTAATGACATGCCGTTTCATAATGCTCCAATGTGCTGGGAGTTTAGACCCTTAGCCCCCAATTCTATTCCTGTTG